TGCCTGGTCTGGTCTGCAGTTCATCCAGTACCCTCCTTTGCTGGGCTCCATAGTTCCGATGCCTTGGCTTGTCAGAAGTTCATCTGGCAGGCTCCTGTGCAGGGGTCCACAGTCCACCTTTCTGGTCTGGTCTGTAGTTTATCCAATACACTCCTGTGCTGGGGTCCACAGTCCACCTATCTGGTCTGGTCTGTAGTTTATCCAATATACTCCTGTGCTGGGGTCTACAGTCCACCTATCTAGTCTGGTCTGTAGTTTATCCAATACACTCCTGTGCTGGGGTCCACAATCCCATTGCCTGGTCTGCTCTGCAGTTCATCCAGTATGCTCCTGTGCTGAGGTCCACCGTTTTGCTGTTTGGTCTAGTTCGCTATTCCTCCAATACATTTCTGCACTGAAGTCCACAGTTCTACTGTCTGGTCTAGTCCACGCTCCTGATCCATGTTCCAGCCAGCTCTGATGTGCTCTGTAGTCCTACGTCCCTCTCTGCACCACGGTTCCTACCATAACTGCTCCCTCTAGAATGATCCTGCACTCATCTACTTCTGCAGTCATGGGTCAGTCTTCACAGGTTACAATAGGATCAACCTAGGGGTCCCAACCTGACATCAACTTTAAAATATTAAATTTTTCTGTGATGTTACCTGCAATTTTTAAAATTGGTGGCAGGTTCTCTTCAAATTGTTCTCAGGCCCCAAGCTTCCAGGTAAGATCTATAGCAGTTCCAGTGTGTATATACAATGGGAGAGATGCACTTGTAATCTCAGCCCCATCAGAGCCCAGTATGGATTCCAGGGAATTGATAGGGAACAAGTTATTAATTCAAGTTAATGATTCGTGAGCTCCCTTGTGTTCACTTGTGCGCCAGTCTGTGTCGGAGAGCCTCCTAGTGGACACCGTGCTCAGTGACAGCTTAGTACACGACGCAAACAAGACTTAAAGCACTATTAAATCCAAAAGCAAACATTTATTATATTGCAGCTTACCAACTCTTAGATGTGATGGCTGCATTTGTTTTCTATTTTCATCTGGTAATCCAGCCAGTAACTCTGTTGTTTTTCAAAAGAACAAGCTCTCTTCCAGATGTATGAGTTTACAGGGATGGGATGAACCATTTACCACTGACAGGAGTGTTTACAAGGATCAGCTTTTAATTCATGTTTTTTTTTTTGGGGGGGGGGAGGGGGGTGCTACACACACTCCTGGCAACTGCAGCCACTAGGAGTGTATGTAAATCAGACAAATCAACTGTCAGCTCATTATGGAGAACCTGTCATCATCAGAAAATGCTGTTTTTTTTTTTAACGCACCAAACTTGCGTTCAGGAATAGATTTTACCGGCGGTTAACCGCATTTGCATTTATAAGCGTTTTTTAACTGTTCCGTGTCCAGATGCTGTCCAGAGCCTTTTTTCATCATCAGAAATACATGCAAAGTGTTTTCCATGTATTCAAATGGACACGGTATACCAGCGCAGTCAGTTCCAGGTTTTGTGTGAAGGAAACAATGGTAGAACGCGCCGCATTATGTTCATGATGGGATCCATAGTGAATACAACCAGAAAAGACAGGGCATCTCAACACATACTGCTCTCTCTGCTTCTGCTCTCTCTATTCCTCTCAAAATGTCTGAAATAGTAAATTATTTACTGTTTTTTCAGTGCATTCTGGGCATTTGGGAAGGTCTCCTGAGGTTATCTTTTAAAACCGCTTCTAAACTCAAACGCACATAAACGCGCATAAACGCGGTATGTGAACACGACTAAACTAAGGTTTTTTTTAACCTATGTTTTCCAGCAGTCAGTTTCCATTGTTCAGAAGAGTTTTCCAAATGCCCCTTGTACATGAGCCCTTACATTGAGGACTTCTTTTCCCCTATGTAATGAAAAAAAATGTAAACAAGTGCACACAATTTAAGTTACATACAAGCATTTAAATCCCCCCCCCCCAAAAAAAAATGTTTTGAGCCCACCACTCACATACATGAACATATGAACATATTTGCATGCATCAGGGTGCCTACCCACAAAAATCTCAAATGCACTCTAAATGTTACATATTGCCGCAGACGCCAGGGTGACAGTAATCATTCTAGACCAGGGGTAGGCAACCTGCGGCTCTCCAGCTGTTGTGGAACTGCATCTCCCATGAGGCATTGCAGCATTACAAAACTGACAGTTACAGCTATGACTTGCAGAGGCATGATGGAACTTGTAGTCCTGCAACAGCTGGAGAGCCACAGGTTGCCTACCCCTGTTCTAGACCCATTATTCACTGTTAACGATGACCTGTTGGGGCTTTCAGTGGATCCCTATGCAAAATATAAGGTCCTGATGTTTGTCACCTTTTCAAAGGCACACGCAATTTTAACCCCTTGGCGTCGGCGCCTCCCGGCCCTTTAAAGGTTTCAGAAGCCGGGAGGCGGGGCGGGGTTTTAGGGTCATGTGAATCGCCAGCACAGCGGTCACATGACCGGGAAAGGTCCCAATCGAAAGAGGAGATTGGGACTTTTCCGTGAGCACCAGACATGTGTGCTGGGAGTGCGCAGGGTGTGCGCTCTCAGTACATATGTTTTTCTTAATTGCACACAAATGTGCGTCTGCTCGGCGTCTATGCCCAGATGCTGGGAGTCCGCACATTTGTGTGCAGTCGGTGTGAAGACGTTAAGGTTTGACATGTTGGGCATCTATTTACTCAGCATAGCCTCATCTTAAATTTAAAAAAAAATGGGTCATTTATTGCGTTTGTGTGTCTCAAAATTAACAGTACTGTATTTTTTACTGAAATTTAATGTTTCATAAACGGTTGCGCAAATTTTGTATGACATTAACAAATTGGAGCTACCACTATTTCATTCTCTAAGATGTCCGTTTTTTGAAAATATATCATGTTTGCTCATTGCAGGAGATCACAGGCTGTTTGCGGCGCTTCACTTGAATGGGTTGTGTTCGACAGGCTTGCCGCTCGCAATTGTAAGATGTTGGATAGTTTTTGCCGCAGCATGTGCACACCCATGTCCGCTGCCATTGCAGATTAAGCAAGGCGGATGGAGGCTCTAAAAACGCAGCTTAACCGCGCATTTTTTCCGCCCACCAACAGTACATCTAAACTTAAAGTTAACTTATCCTTTTGTTTTTACCTCTTTGCCTTTTTTGTTCTGGAATATGAAATGTTAATTAAGTTGAAGAGAAAAAAATAACAAAAATGCCTCGAAATGAACACGCCAACGCATGGCGCTCAACCTTTTATAGATCGCCACCTGCCAATTACTCACCTCTCAGAACAAAGCGTAAATATATAATAACGGCTCCACCGTCCACTCTAAATTGCAGGGTTCAACTCTTTCCAGCTTTTTTAAGAGCCTCTAGACACATTAAATGAGGGCTCCAATTACCGCCCAGGCCAGACGCGGCGCATTGTCAAAAGATTTTTTAGCGCCGAACACTTCAGGCTCAACCATAATGGCTGCTAAACTCCACGCTGTAATCAAATAACAGTGTTCTGTTACGGACACAGAGAGCCATCTGAGCTCTCAGAAGGGGAGAGTGATGCTTATCTCAATGAATTAACCGCCGCTTTAAGATCTGCTTCAAGATGACACCTTGCAGATGGGATTGAAAGCGCTTTATTTAACGCTGCGAGTTTCAGAAAGCGAGGACGGCGGAGTATTACATAGCCAGACATCGTGATAAACTTCTGCCCTTTGCCTAATAAAAGTGAAACAAGAAACTGAGGAATGAAAAAAAAAATCTAATTATCTCCTCTCTGTCCATAACTAATGTAAACGGTATCAGTCCCATCGCTGGTGTCCTTCTTTGTGGCCGCTAAAAACGCAGTTGTCAGTTCAGGCTCAAAAAACATTCCTTGTTCTATCAAGTGCAGCACCGTCATAGATAGGCTACTAGAGAGGTTAAGGAAATGTCCTTCTTTTTGACTCCTTTGTAATCAGTAGAGCAGTTTGTGATTGCTTTGGGCTGTTCTAGGCCATACCTGCAGAAAGTTTGACTGCTTCCCCCCGCCTTCTGGAGGATTCCAGAATGTAGTGGGTTGGTGGAGGCAAATCAACAGCCTGAATATTCATGTCGTCACAGCCAATCCTTGGGAAGGATGCCCAATATGTGCCTGCAGGGTACATAAGTAGCCAGGGGACTGGGGTAGCCAGGTTCTTGTCCAGGAGAAGTTCCCAGCCTGAAGGACTGCTGCCCCTCTGGGCAGTCCACCTGTAGTTCTACAGGAGCTCATTGAGGTCCCAGCTATGCTAGAGCTGGGGCACGTTCTGCTGAAACTTGCTGGAACTGAATCTCACTGAGGATCTAGTCTGGAGAGTTCATGGGAGAAATATCTGGCTGATATTGATAGGAAGTGTCCAGCTATCAAGGGACCTATGTGTAGAATCCTAGCGACTGTTTGCTGCTTCTATCCCTTGTGCATCAATCCAGAGCTTGCTTGAGCGGGGACATTTCCCATGGTGTCTTAGTGTTGCTTAATACTTTAGTTATTGCTAGAGGGACCGTACTAAGAAGCCCTGACAAAGTGAAGCGTGTCCTCATGTTACTAGATTGTGCCACTGGAGTATCCCACAGCTTCCCTGCACCCTATACAAGTCCAACTTACAATAAAGCATCAAAAAAGTTACCTCTATTGAGCCAGAAAAGTGACTGTTACTGTGTGCCTGGTCTGCCTCTTCACCAACTTAAGGAAAGAACCTATAGGGACAACACAGCAGGTCCTTTCGGATGTAAGAGCTACACAAGCATCAGAGCAGGTTGGACGAAGGCTTAGGAGATCCACACAGTTGTAACCCTAACCTAGTCCTATCTCTATAACCCTTTTATCCTAACCACCTATTCCTAAACCTCTAATAATAACCCAACTCTAACCCTAACCCCAATCTAACTATAGCTCTTAACCCTAAACCCCTAATTCTAACACTATCCCCAACACTCTAATCCTAACCCAACTGTAACCCTAACCATCAACCCAGGGGCGGACTGACAACTTATGGGGCCCCCGGGCAATAGGGGATCATGGGGCCCCTGTGTCCTTGCCCAAACTCAAAAAAGCCTATGAAAAAGGTACCAGGGGCATCTCATGGGGCCCCCTACTGACCCCAGGCCCTCGGGCAGTGCCAGAATTTCCAAATGGTCAGTCCGCCCCTGAATCAACCCTACCTGTGACCCCTAACTCTAACCCTAAGCCCCCAACTCTATCCCTAACTCTCTAACCCTAACCCCCTATCTTTAACCCTAACCAGACCATTACCCTAATCCTCTAACCTTATCCCTAATTAGCTTACTCTACCCACCTATCCCTGTTCCTCTAATCTTAACCCAACTCTAACCCTCACCCAAACCTAACTATAACCCCCAAACCCTAATTTTAACTCAAACCCTATCTCTAACTCTAAACCCCTAACCCAACCCTAATTCTAACCCTAATCCCTAACCTTGCCCCGAGCTCTCTTACCCTAATAACCTATTCCTAACCTTCTAAATCTGGCACAGATCTTACCCTAACCCTTGCCCTAACCTTATTATAACCCTTAACTCTAACCCTAAACTTTTAGTTCTAATCCAAACCCTCTAATCTTAACGCAACACTAATCCTCACCCTACCCGAGCTTCAACCGCTAACTTTATACCTAAGGCCCTAACGCTAATTCTAACCCTCTAACCCTAACCTCGTAATTTTAACCCTAACTCAACCTTCACCCGAACCTAACCCTAACTCTATCCCCAGGGGCGTATTTACCACAAAGCAAACAAGACATTTGCCTAGGGCGGCATTTTTCAGGGGTGCAGCAGCATCTTTCAGGGGGGCAGCGGCATTTTTCAGGGGGGCAGCATCACCCTCCAAAAGAAGGAATGGAAGATGGGACACACGCAGCATGGGGGACCAGGTGGGATCTGAGAGAGACTGCAGGTTGCTTGATGGTGGATGCAGAGCCTGACCCTTGTTCCTGGGGATGTCTGGAGCTGTGAAGGTGAATGTCTTCTCTCTCGCAGGGTTGGGCGGTGATGCCAGTGTATGGCGGGCGGTGGTAATGGAAGGCTCTCTCGGGTGGGGGTGTTGTTGGTCAATGTCAGGCTCTCTTCGTGGGGGGGGTGTGCTGGTCAGTGTCAGGGTCTCTCTGTGGGGGTGGGGGGAGCCAATTTTTGTGTTGCCTAGGGCAGCACGAAACCTAAATACACCACTGTCTATCCCTCTTAGCTTTCCATACTTTTTTGAAGACTGACCCTTAAGCTTGAATATTGAGATGCAGTCTGCTGCAGTTTTTCTGCCTGTCCCCCTTTGATACCAAATGTCGTGTGCCAGCATCAGTATCAAATAACCATTTATAATTCCATGAGCCTGGCCTAATAGGCACCACCAAGAATGTAATGGTGAACTGTGGGGCTGATTTAGGCACATTGTTGGGCTAATACTGAATTGGAAGGGTGACACCTAGATATTGCTGTTATAAGGGGTGTGGTGCAGTCTCTGTCTGCTTTTGTCCCCACCCATTCCTATTCTCACAGCCAATCATAGGCTGTAATAAAAAGAACTTCCAGTGACCCATAGAGCTGACAATCTATTTGATTATCCAGAGTCTCCAACCAAATTCTGAAAAGTATTTATAGAGAAATGTACACAACTATAGTGCTGATGCTGTTATGCACACTCTGGAACTGGGAGAGAGTGAGCATTATTATTAGAGTCAGGCAGCTAACCAGCAGAAAGTAAAGTAATATAATATAGTATAAATGTTATGATATAATATTATAGAAGATAATATAATAATATTTAAAAAACCAATCTGTCGTAAATTGGCAACCAAACACAAATTTATCAAAGAGTGTATACGCTCCATCATAAAAGGTCGGACATAGTAAGGGCTCGTTCACACTTGACTGTTTTACCAATGCTTGCCAAACGCCCCTATAGCATTTGGCAAGCGTTGGTCCGGCGTTTGCGGAGTGTTTTTTAACGTTCGGCAAACGCTCCGCAAACGCCGCATGCGCGGTTTAGCGGAGGTTGCTAGGCATTTGCCGAGCGTTAAAAACGCCCCAAAAACGCCTATAATGCAGTTTGAATAGTGTTACCACTCCGCAAACGCCCCGCAACTGCGGCGCAACCGCACCGCAAACGCCAGCCGGGTGTTTGCGGAGCGGCACTATAGACTAGAATAGGAGGCTTCTACACCTCCTGACTCGACCAGAGGCATCCATTTTGCAGCGACGCGATGCAAACGCTCCCGTTAGAACAGCACCATGTGCTGTAATGTGCAGAATTGGCCGAGGCGTTTGGGAAGCGGTAAAAACGCTTCCCAAATGCCTCTCTGCCGCCTGCACACAACGCTAGTGTGAACGTAGCCTTAGTGTGCCAAAACCTCACATCTTTGCAGAAACCGAGGCTTTTAAGGTCTGATATTTGCCATGTAGGACATCCCTGAAATATCTTTCGCGTAAAGTCATTGAGAATTTGCACACATCAACAATTTCGGGAAACATTAATTTCTGTTATTTTGAAATACTTTATCAGCTTGACTGAAAGCACTGTACAATATCAAAGTGGAACTTCATTCTCTCAGTCATTGACTAATATTAATACTTATGCTGCTAAACCGATAGGAAGTTATATGATATTTACTCCTTTTAAACTTGTTTTACATTTCTTCAGTTACTTCCTCATTTCTGGCCTAGGCTAATGATGTCATACATCCCAGGAGTCTTCAAGAAGGGAGGAGGGATTCTCTCAGCTATGCACACCTTCCTGCCTGCTTGCCTGAGCTAAGGGCAGATGGATTCCAGAAGTAAATGCTACAAAATCATTTGCTCATACACAAGATGACTGCAGCCAGAAATGCTAGAGGATGTTTTTCAATGTGATTTCTCAACAAAATAAAGCATGGACACATGGATGGATGGGAGCTCTTTGTTTTAATATTAAAAATGAATTAAATTGTGTTTTTAGTTTGTGATGCTCAGATGCAGTGTAGTTCCCCTTTAAGAGATTCCTGTCTCTCTCCAGTCTTCACATCGGACCTTGGAGGTTGTACGGTGTTAGTTCACTTCCACATATTTTCTTTAAGGGCCAACTAACACTTTGAGGCCTGGATCACTCTATGAATCATATATGAAACACACAGGAAATGCACTGCTTTCCTGTGCAATTCATATGTGATTCAGTGCGGCATGATTTATTTATTTATTACAGGTACTTAAGTAGCACCATCAATTTACTCAGCACTTTACATATACAGTATATTGTACACTTACATCAGTCCCTAACCCTCAAGGGGCGTACAATCTAAGGTCCCTAACTCACATTCATACATACACATACTAGGGACAATTTAGACAGGAGCCAATTAACTTACCAAAATGTCTTTTGGAGTGTGGGAGGAAACCGGAGTACCCAGAGGAAACCCACACAGGCACAGGGAGAACATGCAAACTCCAGGCAGGTGGTGCCATGGTTGGGATTTTAGCCCATTCATTTTGAATGAGCTCAAATTGCACTGCATCCCACCAAAGTAGTGCATGCACCAATTTTAGAAATGCACTGCAACCTGATTGCATGGTCGTTTTGTATCATGCTGTCCGGTACAGGCAAATGCACAGCGTTCGCGACCTACATTTGGGGTATCATTAACATTGCACTGAAACACACTGCAGATCATAAGAGAAGTGCAATTTTAATGCCGTGTAGGAAATCTGCAGGGATTGCGGGTTTCCCGCACTGCATTCTAGTGTGTACTGAAGTTAACTCTAAATTGACAAGCTGTACAGGATGGCAAAGCATCACCTATGGAAAATTTGGGGAATTTTGGGCTGATCGACGATGTAAATATTTAGTATCACAGTGTACGTGATGAGAGAAATACTTCTAGGGTCATCATTAACAATTTACTCTAAATTGACGAGTTGTAGAGGTTGGCAAAACTGTGCCTATGGAAAATATGGGCTTGGTTATGCCATGCAAGCCTTGGCACGTGAGAGATAGATCCATCATGAGCAGGTAAATCTAAATTGATGAGCTGCAGAGGTTGGCAAACCATCACCTATGGAAAACTTTGGGACTTTGTGGATCTACAATGTACAGACTTGGTATCACCATGCAAACCATGGTAAGAGATATACTTCTAGGCTCATTGTTAACTAATAACTCTACACTGATGAGTTGTAGAGGTTGGCAAAACTGTGGCTACGGAAATTTGGGGACTTTGCTGATCTACGATGTGCAGGTTTGGTATCACCATGCACTCCAAGGCAAAGTGAGATGTAATTCCTAATCCATCGTGAACAGTTAAAGTGATTCTAAAGGCTTATTTTTTTTTAAGAAAAAATAACAAACATGTCTATACTTACCTGCTGTGTGCAGTGGTTTTGCACACAGCAGCTCAGATCCTCCTCTTCTCGGGTCCCCCGCTGGCCCTCCTGGCACCTCCCTCCTGTTTGGTGCCCACACAGCAAGCAAATTGCTGTGGGGGCACCTGCTGTTCCATGTTTCCATTCACACATGGAGCTGTGGCTCGGCCCTGCCCCCTCTCTCTTCTCATTGGCTCACTAGCTGTGATTGATAGCAGTGGGAGCCAATAGCTCCCTCTTCTGTCTCAGCCAATGAGAAGAGGGAGTCCCGGGATATATGAGACTCCAGTGCACATCGCAGGATTGAAGGGGGCTTAGGTGAGTATTGGGGGGCTGGGGGGGGGATGCTGCATGAAGATTTTTTACCTTCATTCATAGAATGCATGAAGCTAAAAATCCTTGAACCTTTACAACCACTTTAACTCTAAATTAATGAGCTGTAGAGGTTGGCAAACGGTCACCTACGAAAAACTTTGGGGAATTTTCTGATCTACAATGTGCAGATTTGGTATCACCATACATGCCATGGTAAGAGATATACCTCTAGGCTCATCGTTAACTATCAACTCTAAACTGAAGTTGGGAAAACTTTTCCTACGGAAAGTTTGGGGAAGTTTTTGATCTACAATGTGAAGATTTGGTATTGCCATGCATGCCATGGCAAGTGATATATAATTCTAGGGCCATCATTAACGGTTAACTCTAAATTGATGAGCTGTAGAGGATGGAAAACTGTCACCTACAAAAAACTTTGGGGAATTTGCTGATCTACAATGTGCAGATTTGGTATCACCATACATGCCATGGTAAGAGATGTACTTCTAGGCTCATCAATAACTATCAACTCTAAGCTGAAGTTGGGAAAACTTTTCCTACGGAAAATTTGGGGAAATTGCTGATCTACAATGTGCAGATTTGGGAATTGCCATGCATGCCATGGCAAGTGATGTATATTTCTAGGGCCATCATTAACGGTTAACTCTAAATTGATGAGCTGTAGAGGTTGGCAAAGCATCATCTATGGAAAAGTTTGGAAATTTGCTGATCTACAATGTACAGTTTTGGTATCACCATGCACACCATGGTAAGAGGAATACATCTAGGGCAGGGGCGGACTGACCATTCGGAAACTCGGGCACTCGGGTCAGTAGGGGGCCCCATGAGATGCCCCTGGTACCTTTTCATAGGCTTTTTTGAGTTTGGGCAAGGACACAGGGGACCCATGATCTCCTATTGCCCGGGGGCCCCATGAGTTGTCAGTCCGCCCTTGATTCTAGGGCCATCATTAATGGTGAACTCTAAATTGACGAGCAAAGCATCACTTTTACGGAAAATTTTAGGAATTTTTAGATCTTTATGAATAGGCCCCAAAGATTTCATTTCCATATCAAATCTCAAAGTCTGTACACAATGATAAGAGAAGGAGCCGGGGCACTAGACGATGCAGCAAGTATCGAGCTCTGCAAAGTCTTTAGCGTTCGGAGTCTTGAAAAGCAGCCAGAGGCACAGCACACAGGATAACCGCATGAGGTATGAGACAGACAATCGTAATCTCTTCTTTACTCCATCCATCTGTTCCTCTTCCTCCTCCTCCATCTCCCGCTTCATCCGCCACTCACTAACGGGGAGTCACTCCGCCAAGCACGTCTGGAGAAACCTGGCAGGCATCTCAGATTTAGATTGTCAGCTCCCAGCATCCGGCCTGAACTGAAACATCTGCACAAGTCGGGTGTTTATGTTGCATGCAAAGTAATATAGAGGGGAGACGACTGATGTGGCGTTAAATGTAACGCCGCGTCACGCCGAGAAGTGATCTATTTAAGAGTGGGAACGCAGCTCGGATCTGATCTTTTCCATCTGTTCCGTGTCGGGTGCCAGAGTGTTTGTGACAACAACATGGTCGTATTTCTCCAAAGCGCGCTCAATGTTCTGCACACACAGGGCTCGCCATAAACTGTGGCTGTACGCCGTTCACTGAACTGAATTTATTCTCTCTTGAGAAGATGTGTAGTATAGGGGGGATGTGATCACCATGTGTAAATATATAGGTGGTCCATCTAGTGTCGTGTTATTCCCTTTCAGGTAATTACAAAGGACTAAGGGGGCACTCTTTATGTCTGAAGGAAAAGAGATTTAACCTCCACATAAGGAAAGCATTCTTCACAGTAAGAGCTGTGAAAATGTGGAAAAGACTCCCTCAAGAGCTGGCTCTGGCCAACTCATGTAAAAAAATAGCCAGATGCATTCCTAAATTTACAGAATTTTATAGGCAATAAACATTTATAAGTAATATAACACCAGATATTGTTGACCCAAGGAATATTTGATTATTTTAGGGAAGGGGTGTCAAACTGGCGGCCCTCCACATGTTGTGAAACTACAAGTCCCATCATGCCTCTACCTTTGGGAGTCATGCTTGTAACTGTCAATCTTGCAATGCCTCATGGGACTTGTAGTTTGGCAACAGCTGGAGGGCCCCCAGTTTGACACCTGTGCCTTAGGGGATCCAGAAGGACTCTTTTTTTCCCCTGTTGGAGTAAATTGGATAATGCTTTATAGTTTTTTTTTCTTTTTTTTTGCCTACCTCTAGATTCACTCTAGGATTAGGAATCTGTATATAGCGATTTTATATTTGTTATTTTTTCCTATTGGTTGAACTAGATGGAGCTGAGTCTTTTTTCAGCCTGACTTAGGCTTTGTTCACAGAGCACGTAAAATTGTGCACCTTCCTGCAACACACAAATATGCACAGGCAGGGGCGGACTGACCATTTGGAAACTCAGGCACTGCCCGAGGGCCCGGGGTCAGTAGGGGGCCCCATGAGATGCCCCTGGTACCTTTTTCATAGGCTTTTTTGAGTTTGGGCAAGGACACAGGGGCCCCGTGATCCCCTATTGCTCGGGGGCCCCATGAGTTGTCAGTCCACCCCTGGCACTGCCCCATTGCAAACATGCGGCAGTACCATTAATTCATAATGGGACCCCAAGCATCTTGCTAATGCATGCGTTCGTGCACAAACAGCATGCGTTTTAGTGTGACACATTGTTTAACCACTTCAGGTCCACCCACCTGCAATGTACTGCGGCTGGGCGGCCCATACAAGCACAGCAGCATACTGGTACGTTGCTGGCCTCTACCAGGTAAAGGGTGCACATGCTTGCCCCCACCTGCCGACTCCCATTGTGATTAAACACAGCAGGATTTTGTAAGCAGGTCCCAGCCAATGATTCATGGCCAGGACCTGCTAATTGGCTGTGTCCAATCACAGCCTAGATCCCTGTGTTGACAATCAACACAGTGCTCTGTACTGAAGAAGCAATCTCTTTGTTTCCTCTCCCTGAAAAGCAGGGAAAAGGAACAAAGAGATTTTTTGCAAAAAGCAGCCCATAATGTACACATTAGGCATGCACTTAATCCCTTGATTACCCCAAGATGTGAACCGATTTCCTGGCCAGAGTCAATAGAACAGAGATGTATAGCATTATCATAATATATTGATCATAGTATAATATATTTTGGCATAAATTTGTGAAGAAATTAAATTTTTTCTTTTTTTTTAATTGGTTATTTTATATAGCAGAAAGTAAAAAATATTGGTTTTTTTTTTCTGAATTTTTGGTCTTTTTGTTTATATAATAAAAGTAAAAAACCCAGTGGTGATCAAATATCACCAAAAGAAAGCTCTATTTAATTAAAAAAAAAATGATATAAATTTCATTTGGATTCAGCGTTGCATGACCTTGAAATTACCAGTTAAATTAGTTAAATAGCAAAAAATAGCCTGGTCATAAAGAGGGTAAAACCTTCGGAACTGATGTGATTAAAAAGGAGCAGGCTTGTTTCTTGTGCGTAGGGCATCTTATTGAAATGAATGGGCTGTCCTAAATGTGACATACGGGAACATGCGTAAATGTGCGCAAAAGCACACATGCTCAGCCGCAATTCCTGGTATGAACAGAACCTAACAAAAGCCTATTCACCAGCTGAAGCCAACTTCAGGTTGGTGCAGGAATTCATACATTTCATGGTGGTATTACTACTTCCTCTAAATATCACAGCTTCCCGCTCAGGATCATGCACCTGCACTCCCTTGTTGGTTGCTAGGATCCTGGCAGCCGTCTGCTTCCTAGCAACCAATGACACATCCAAAACTGCATTCAGCTGCTGGCTGAGGGATTCTCACATGCTCCTTGTCAGCATATGAACACTACAGCCCAACTGACTGGTTTCTTGGGCTTCTTCTCTCTTCTATCTAAGCTCTGCTGTACAGAGACTGCAAGAAACAAATTCAAGAAAAAAAAAAATATATATATATATATATTCAATCATGTATTAATAAATACAGAGCTGCATTACTTTTTATTTGCCCAGAGATTAGCTGTAAA